GCGAGGTTGTATTGATACTTATTTTGGGACGGAACTGTATAGTTAGTTTTGTGATGGTTATTTCTGGATTACACTGCTGGATGGATTAAATGAGTTTTCTGTCAGCCTGTTTCATTAATTGTTATGTCTGGAATACGATTGTATCTAAGGTAAGACATGACTTCTTTTTCTTCATTTTTGAGTTGTTCTCTTGTTTATAATGAAATAATAAATTTAATTTTTCATCATAAAATAGAAACGGAGTTTTAAATTTTTAACATTGTGTGTGTGTGTAAGATTTAAGACGAACCGTCGTGTCTGATTTTAATGCAACTGATATCGACATTAAAGAACACCTTTTAAACGTTCAGTTTCGCTTCGTTGATTTTATAAGATAACCAGTATCGAATATATAATTTCAAAAGAATCTGTTCTTGTAACATGAATAAGTAAGCAATAAAATTTTGGAAAGAGAGAAATAAATGAAAAAAATGAATGAATTTTATGAAGGAACAGAAATAAATGAAAGCGATAAAGCTGTCAATTTAAAGATTTGAAACACGAAAATGAAATTAAAACATAAAAACCGGTTCGATCAGATATAGTCAATCTGATTAAATATTAAGAAAAATACTGAATCATCCATAATCAATGATTGATCCTCCAAAATTACGCCTGAGAAGACCGGAATTTAAAATAAAACGTCCACGGTCTAGAAATTTTAAAAGTTTGGAATTCTACCAATAGTCAAAGATTTGTGGAGGCATCCCGGTCATAAATGACGCGCGCAAATTGGAGAAGCTTTCAGCTAAATAGGTTTGAAATATGAAAAGTTCCCGATAGTTCCGGCCCATTTATCTTAATGAAGAAGGATGAAACACTCACGGATCAATTATGGCAATAATCATTTGTCATTAATCAAGATATCCGTTGGAAAGCATTTTAAGTGCCCTAACCATTCTCTCTGTCTGCGACACCCTTGATTTATCCTTTCCATTTCCCAGGTACACGAGGTAAAGGAAGGAAATCGCTAAGCAAGCTATTCCATATGGGATTTTGGCACAGCATCCTTCAGAAAAAATTCTATTACGTTAATGATTTCTAAATCTTCTAATGTCCCTAAACCTGAAATATACATCACGTGAACTACACTGATGTATGCTGCTATCGTCTTGGAGATGTTCATCCATGTTCGAATCTTGAGATTGCCAGAGTACAAGCTATTTGTGATTGTGAATCAGTTTAGGTAAAAGCTTTCTAACCGGGGGTGTGGAAAAGCAGCTCAAAACTTATAAGATTTGTGCTATTTTTGTTTTAAAAGGGAGTTTGATATCACAGCAAAGAGAAAAATACTTGTTCGTGCTGAATGTAGATTATGTTTATTGAAAAAAATTTAAAAAAAACAGCATATCATCAACTAAAGGAATAGCATAACTAATATGGAGTTAGTACAACATCTTTTAAGAAGTGATATAGTAGTGTATGTTTGATAGCGATTAAGGTCCACTTTTACTACACTTTCTGAGATGAAAATATTTAGATACATTTTTTGGAGATCCGCGGCGAATGCTAAACTGTGTTGTTATTTGTTTAGAGCAATTATATTTACTTGATAATTGTAATTTTAATTTAGAAGTCAAACAACAAAAATCAGCGTTATATTTTCAAATTTTCACAGGACTCGTTTCGATGATTTTACCGAACCATCAGCAAATCATGATGGTTCGGGAAAACCATCGAAAGGAGACCTGTGAAAATTTGAAAATATAACGCTGATTTTTGTTGTTTAACTAATTAATACTTGTTCGGCATGTTATTGTATCTTAATTGTAATTTTATTTACTTCATATTAAATTTCTGCTCTCACATTTTACCTCCATGAAAAAATATTTACTATTCTTCTTCTTGTTAAATAAATTGACAGTTGACATCACAGGCATTTTGAAAAGAATTTTATGTATATTGGACTAAATATTGTAGATTTTAATGGGCTTCATATACTATGAGGTCAGTAATGCTGAATATAACTGATTTTATACTGCGAATTTAGTTGTTTTGAAAGAAAATTCCAAGCATCGCTACTTTAAAATCACAGTTTTTATTAGGTAGGGACGTTCTGAATTTTGAAACCATGTCAAATAATTAATTTTGTTTTTTATATAGCATTGCGTCTAAATACATTCTTTGAGGTACCTGAATTTTACAAATCAAGAATTGGAGGCGGTTTCTCTAATCATTTTAAACTAAACATAAGGCAGCCTTTAAGAGAAAACTTACTCATGTGTCATTATATGTCTCATTGCCTTAAATGCCTATTGTATTTTAAAATGAAACACTTACTTTCTTTTGAAAACTTTTGTATCTCTCTACAGTAGCAAATAATATCAAGAACCCCTCCCCCCCCCATTTAAATCTTTCGCAATGTACAATGAATATTTACAATGCTGAAGGACTTTTACACATGTAATCTTAAGAATCGTAGGCTCTAAACAGTTAGCTGTTAATTCTTAGAAAATAACCATTTTAGAAAATCGTTCGAGCTTCTACATCTGCTAATGTTAAATAAAATATTGTTTATTAGAAATTCTTCAGATTATGGATTAGACGCATTTTTTATATCATCACTTACTTTCAAAAGTAAATTTTTACGTTTCAATTAAAAATTACAAATAAGTAATATTTATTCTAAATTTCATGGAAAAAGTGATTTAAAGTTTTACGTCGCCTGTTTTCAAAATTCATTACTGGGATTACTATTGAATCAAGAGTCAAAATTTTCATTACGAAAATTGTACAAATTTTTTTAACTTGGAAGTGTTTACAACTTTGTGATATTAAATTTAATAGCACGAGTGATTAAGTAAAAAATAGTGATTTGTAAGTCAGAAGTAAATTATTTAAGCTGTAATAGGAAGAAAAGCTTATTTTGAATGTTAGATATTCCAAATAAATCAAACGAAGTACGGCATGCAATATATTAAAATAAAACTCTTTACTTACGCTGTATTTAAGCACATGTATTGGTATATAAAGGGCTACTTGTGCTGTTTACATATGATTTTGAAATATGTAAATCTTGAAACCATCCGCCCATTAAGTTTAAAATCCTTTCCTATAAAAACAATACAATTCTTTTGTTATATTTTGAACTCACAGATAATACCATTTTTATTCATTAGGCTATCCTGTACGAAGGCCAAGACAAAAATCCTGAAATGTGCCACGTTTTACTCACGTACGAAGTTATGTGCAGTTAAGAAAATGCTCTGAATTTTTTTCTGATCTTAAAATCTAAAAAAAATAAGAAAATAATAAGCTATAGCATAAAATACATTTAAAAAATTTTCCTTTATCCTTCTCAAGAAAACTTCCCTATTTCTTTATAAAGCGTTTTTAATGTTTCTCTGGTTTTCAAGATTGCCATAAAAAAGATGGAAGAGAGGGAAAGAACGGTAGCGTTACATAAGATCTCTGGCTCTATAAAGAGCTAAAAAAAAATTATGACTCTTTGTTAAGTTCATTTTATCTGGCGGAATTTCTTTCACGAAATGAGAAGGGAAATTCTCCTAGCATTTCTTTTTACACTCGATTCTGTTTTAAGCATGCTGGCATTGTAATCTGATTAAATCAAAACCAGGGGAAAAAAAAAAAAAAAAAAAAAAAAAAGAGGAAAGAAGATGAAGGGCAGAAAGGAAAAATAACAGATACTACAGATTAGAAAATGAACATATGAAAGAGATATCTCTAATTATCTTTCATTTGCAGAATCTGTTTTTAACAAAAAGATACTTTTTTATCGGCTTGCCTTAGGTAGTATACAGTAAAGATAGTTTCGACCGAACTACATTTTAATTGACTCGAGAACTAGATGTAATTAAAGAGCACGTTACTTATAAGGAATAGGATAAAAATACATTTCTAATAGAAGAAAAAGTATGATTTTTATGAAATCGATGGCGGTAACGCCACAAGTTGGCGACAACTTCTAGTTTACTTTTTTTGGTACTATTCGGTTTCGAGGGCCATAAAAAAATTGCAGCGAAAATGTATGCGCGAAAGCGCCAAATCTAGCAATACACGCCCATTTACCAGCGTGCCAAATCTCGCGTACGAGCTGATTTCAGATTGCGTAAGTTTATATAGTTCTGTATTTCTTAAGACGCCATTGAAATACTAGTTTAATTTTTAATTCCTTTTTTGATATCCTATGGATCTAACAATTTAGGAATTACCTATGATGAAAAGTCTGCGATAGAATTTTGGGTAAAGTGCAGAATCACCCACTGCTTGACGCGTTTTTAAGAATTGCACATACTCGGTATCCATGTACACATCGACTTATTTCAAAAAAAAAAAAAAAAAAATCCCAGAATTGCACAAAAATGGCACCGCGCACACCCTTGACTTTATCTATGTACACATCGACCTATTGTCACTTAAAAAGTAAAAGAAAATTGACAAAATTCCAATTGTTTTTACCCTTGTAAAAAGCGGCAAAGAAATAAGCGGGCGATTCTGCACTTTACCGAAAGTGTTTTCAAAGAAAAGGCGTCATTCATCATGGAAAATTATGTTTGAACAACCAACGAAATGACATTATGCTTTAGCGATAACTCGGTAGCGAAATATTATATGAAATTAACTTTTCATCTAAATTAAAACATCAATATTTAAATAGATATTTACTATTATAATTCCTTTCTTGCGTTAGGGTTCCGCAATTACTTTTGGCAGCACTGGCATCAACTTTTGGCAATTACTTTTGGCAGTACTGGTTTGGCGATTTTTTACGGCCCTCGAAACCGAATAGTACCTTTTTTTTTTTCTTCTCTATATTATTAATTTAGTTTCACTTTCGGTACTCCGGTTTTAATATTTGTATGATTACATTGAATAAAATATAAGTTTAGCAAAGAAATTTTTCTCCTTCTAGTTCTCAATTATACAAAATCATAGAAATGTGCATTTTAATTTATTTTTTAGTAATAGGAATTTGGTTTCCGTCTAAGTTAAAACAGTCCCTACCAAAGTCTATTGATGAGAATAAAAGACGTGTTAATTTCCTTTTTCTTTTTTTCGGACTGTAGGCCATAATTTTTAATTATCTTTTTATTCGTAGTAATTATCCCTTTTCCTTTATATAATTATGTTTACCTTTTCGGTACTTGCGTATTATCGCAACCAGGTTGGCGCGATTTGTAAGTTTGAGTAAAAAGTATGTATGAATAGAAAGAAAATGCACATTTATTAATTACAGATAATTTTTAATACAGTTTTTTATATATTATTTGTTTTTAAAATATAAAATAGCAATTAAACCCTTCCGGTTTCGAATTTGAATAAGTTGCAGAATTATTTTTTCGGCGGAAATCTTTTGGCTATTGCTTTTAGCACTGATTGAAAACCGTCTTCGCCATTAACAGCTTGAGCTTGGCGCCATATAAATTCGATAAGGTATGAGTCAAGATAATGACGGGCTGTTCCTCTCTGTTTTTGTTGCGCCATTTGGCTGAGCCCCACATGCGCTTTACATGTTGTGTGTGAACGCCCGTGTTGGGATCCACAAAGTTATATTTGTGATTAACAGTTCCATGCAGAAATCCAGCATTTTCGAACTCGCTTGTATTGTATCCTTTCCAGCAATCCAAATAAATGATGCTTCCTTCCTTGATATTTTCGCAAATTTTTTTCCATGAGGGTAACGGCGCTTCTGTTAGGTACAGTAACCAAAAAAGTCTCTTTCTTTTCTCGGCAAATTCCGTCGAAAACCCATTGCTGTGGTAGTACACGCCCAGTGTTATTTTTTCTTTTTACAAATAAATTCTTTTTACAAAACTACGTATAACACGTAGGGTTGCCGTAAATAGGGTCGCCAAATTTGGCGATTTATGCGAATTTTGGCCTGGTTGCGTTAATACGTAAGTATCTACTTTTCTTAGCAAGAAGTAATTGCGAGCAAATTAATAGACATTTTAAAAGAAATTTATCTTAAGTGTCTTAGTGAATAAAAAATGCTTTTGGAAAATATACTCGGTAGAATTAAGACATTATGATAAATAAGCATTTTCGCTTGTAATTTTTTTTAAATATGAATTCTTTTATCAAAAATAAAAGTTTTCAAGGAGCTTTTTAAGGTGTTTGTTTTCTTGCAAGTATAGCTAGCAGTAAAATTTCAGATATTCATGTGTATATCATCATATTATAATTATTAATGTTCACAGTATTTTTCCGCACTCGATATGTTTTTTTTTCCACTCCGTAAACACAAATATTTCAAAAATTATCGAATTGATGATTTAAATAAATTTTAATAACTTATCTAAAACTGTCTGTGTTTAGAAACACTGCAGAAGCAGTGGTAAAGATTATTTCATGCAGAAAACTTCTTGATAATGATCTTAATCCTAAATCAGTATACTGCTAATGATTTATATTAATATCATTGATAACAATATAGTCCAGACTCTGATGTCTTTCTCAAACTGCCTTCTTTAAAAATAAAATTTCAAATAAATAAAAAACTTATTATTAATATACATTGAATTGACTCCAGCCTAGAATTAATAATTCTATAACTTATTTAATTTCAATAGTATAGTCTAGTTACTCGCGTATGATTAATTACGGTGCGATCGCAATCTAGGTAAACTATACTTATCATTTACACTATTGCGCTTCTTAATGACCTGATGGATATTGATTTTTCCGGATAATTGCGTTTTCTTAATATGCTGCTTCTAGTCCAATTGACTCCATTTGAGTTTTCTTGCTGTTTTATAAGCAATATCAAAACTTCTTATAAATAATGACTAGATAACCACTCCTTTGTTTTAGACTGGTTATGTACCTAATTCAAATCAATGTATCGGAATTTTAGTAATTTGTTTTCAAATTGTGCTGTTTACAGACAGAAAATAAGGTGGAATTTTCTCTGCAAAAAATTTAATGAGTAGATACATTATGTTTTTCATCAGCGTCCTGTTAACAGTGAGAGAAAGATTGAGTTCATAAGGCTAATTAGAAAGAAACTGTAAAAGAAAAAAAATGAACCCAAGCAGGATTTAGCAAGGAAGACATGAATAATTCTACTTTATGCATATACAAAACTTCATTCTACTCTTAAGCCAAAACTGCAGACGATACTATATGATATAAATTTTATTTTATGGAACTCTTTTTCTTCGAATTTCTCAATTAAGACTGGTGTTCAGAAGAAAAAAAAAAAAAAAAAAAAAAAAAAAAATTAATATTAAAAAAAAATATTATTATTATTTAATAGTAATTTTAAAACTCAGTTTTAAATCAAACGTTTAGTAAATATTTACGTAAATGAGGCAGAAAGAAGAAAATGTTATTAGAGTGTATCTCGTCATATTTCCTCATATTAGAAATTTTTTAGATATTTAATATGCTACGAAATATATAGATTAATAATTAATATAGATACGAAATGCATATCAATAAGAAATTTTTATCTAATTAACTTTAAAAAAATTAAGTTTACTTGAATCATAGTTTTTTTTTTTTTTTTTTTTTTTTTTTTACCCTTTTTAAGTATTCTGTGACTTTTATTCTGTACCAATTTTAAACTGCAGGCTTAACAGCTACACTCTTAATGATATAACAAAAAATTTCTTCTGCGTGTGGTGCATTTTTTGGCTTCTGAAGATTATAAAAAAATAAGTAAATAACAAATAATTTTTTTTTGTAGATTTTGAGACAATGAGATGGAAGTAATGTTTATAATAAAAGCTGCTCGACATCTACGAATTAAAATGAAGACTACTAATAAGTCTATTAATATAATCCAACTAATAATTTCGGGTGCCTTATAAATGTTTTCTGGAAATTATTGACACAGTCAGGCATAATTTAATTTGTCACTATGAATTATATTACAGAATACTGCATTTTTTCAATAATAGTACCTTTTATTTTTATTCGGTGTCTGGAATTAAAATATATGCTTCGATTTAATTTTAAAATGTAACTAAAGATTTCTTTTACCTGCTTTTAGTCGGTGCTGTGACAAGAAGAGCTGTGGAAACAGAAATGAAACACCCTCCGATCCCGTGATAATTGACAGGTAGGATATGTGTGTTTCTTGGTGTATACTTTTCCATTCGTTGCATATATATATATATATATATATATATGCAACGAATGGAAAAGTATATATATATATATATATATGCATTAGTTTTGTTATATATGTATATTAGTTTTGTAATACAATAGGTTATGGAGCAATAATGGTAAAATAAACTATTCTATTAATAACCATTTAAGCTATTATTATTATATAAATTTTCCAATAACTTGCAGTTTTATATTTCTTATTCAAAATAATAATAATAATAATAATAAGCTATTTTTTAAAGTCCTTAGTTTCTTTTAAATTGCTTAATATTAAATAAACAATCAAATAAGATCACTAATCGCTGCCACATCCAGCTCGTTTTCGATATTCATTCGCCTGATCTCTAAATTTAGTACAAATGTTTGCGCAGCAGATGGCTCTACAACTAGATCCAGTTACCCTGCCCTTACAGTACACCTCTGCCCGCCTTATATTCATCTTATATTCACGACAACAACAGTAGGAGGAAAATATGTCCGAATTTGCTTGAGTTTTAGTATTCTGAGTAATGCAGCTTTTAAAAGAGCGCAAGAACGGTTGATTATGTTGCCAAGAGCCAGTGGAGTAATTCATGACACAGTTATTAAATAGTGTGTAACTTTTTATAGCTAATTAAGAAATACAGATATGAAAATTAATTTTAATAGCTCTAAATGATTTTGATTGAAGGTCGTAATCATTTATCGCAGAAATATAATCTTCTAGAATAATTTCCCACTCTGTTTGGGTAACCGACTGAGAAGATTTCTACGTCATTCACGTTTCATCTTCGAGACTTTTTTGTATAAATGACATTAGGATTTATATCCTCCAACAAAGGGAAGAGGAGACGCTAGTCAGTTGTCTAATTTTCAGAAGATTATTAAATTTTCTATCAGTTACAGATATGTTTCTTAAAGATAGGGTGCCATCTGAAGCATGTAACCCTCTGCGTCATACTAAAAGACTACATGAACTAGAAACATTTTGGGATATCTTTTATAACAGCCAGAGGATTCTTTGTGGTGGAACAGAACATAAATAATTTTGGTTGTTAAATTTTTTTATTTAATGTTGACTCATTTCTTACTATCAAAACGATACTAAACCAGCAATATCTTAATTTTTCAAAGCACATAAAATAGTTTAATGGCTATTCACTTGTTTTTAAATATGGAAAAGTATTATAGTAACACATAAGGACATCTTCACAGCATGTAAATGTATTTCGCCTTCACAGCATATATACATTGGCGAAATACATTTAAACAATGAAAATGACAGTACGAATGTTATGAATTTGCGAAGAAAACTTTAAATATTTATTATTTTAGATTTGATTATGAAGTTGTTTTGTTATTTTTCTAATAGTCTACTTTTTTCTATTCTTTATTTATCATTTTTCAGTTTTCCATATTTAACTATATATATATACTTTCTTTATTTATCATTTTTCAGTTTTCCATATTTAACTAGTCAAGGTATGTTTCGTAAAACATACGTAAAATGCTGCAATATAAATTACATAAATTTTAGCGTGAAAAATCAGCTATCGAAAACAATTTTCCCCCCTATGTTGGAAATTATTTTAGAAGCTTGTAATCAGACTAAAAGATATTTAAACAATTCAGAAAGGTTTTCAACCTATAATACAACCTAAAATATATTGTATATATATTGGCTTTCAGATTATCAAGATATGCATTGAAGCACACCTGAACTTGCTCTCACTTGCCACTAAATGCTTAGAATTAATTGAGAATGTATTAACAGGGATTCAAGTTTGCCGTCTCTCAAACTTGTAGTCAAAAGACTATTTGTAATCTCATAATGTAATTGATTTCTTTCTGCAAATGGAGTAATATTATATTAAAAATTACGTCATTTCAAAAAAGTGGTATTTTGCTTGAATTCAGCTATGTTCTACTATAGAATGGCTTAGGTATTTCTCAGGTTTTGAGAAAAATTTTAACTGCAGCCGGAGTTTTCTATAAGACAGTCTTCAATATTTCTTTACTATGATTAGAGATTGCAATATCAGCAGGGAAGTCCATTATTCACTTGATATTTCTTTTAGCATTAATAAGACTAATACTGATATTAGTTACAAAATACACATTGTTCATTGGGACCTTAGTTTCATTCGGAAAAATAAAGGTCCATGCCCCCTGCAAAACACGCACAAGAAACATCCGAGGCTGAACCATAAGCCCAGCATCTAGTTAACGTAAGCTGAAAAAAAAAATGGATTTATATTAAAAATTTTTAGTATACGAGACATAAAGTTCGGCCAGTCGGAGACATGAAAACATATCACATTTCTGATTTCTGTTCACATTTGTTTTTAGAAGTAGAGGATAATAAGATTTCCAGTTCCAAATCTATATAAAACTGTAAAATTGATGGGAAGATTTCAGGTTAAATTTCAGTTACGAAGTTACTGCAAAGTTTGACATTTAATCAATAATTACCTTGTAGTATTTAATAATTTTAGCGCACGATTAAGTTTCTGTAGTAAACTTCTTTAGTGATAAGTTTTTAATTTAAAAATATATTTTTCATTAAATGTTGAATGCAAAATGCACTCCGTTGCTTTAAATGAACTTATATGCTATTAAAGAATATTTATTTTTTTTGTTACACTCTTATCAAATTTTACTCTCATAATTTACTCTTTTTCCATTTCTTATATTTCGTTAATTTTTTTGCCATATATTCATTTCGATTTAACATATTTTATTTCTTATCTGTCTAAGATAAATTTTATTTTATCTAATATATTATAATATAAATAATAAGATAAAGAAATATATATAAAGAATTAGAATAGTTAATATTTATTATAAAACCATATAACCTATTTATCTGTATAGAGATTTATTTATATAATTTTATTATTTATATATGTAAAATGAAACATAGTTCTGTTACACACGTAGACTATAACAGCGTTCCGTAGAGTTACGCCATTTTTAATTTTAGAAATTAACTCTATTTGATACGGAAATATTCGTACATTTAGAGCATAGCATTGAGATAAATATCTATTGAGGAGGTAATATATTTTCCTTTGTGAATTAGGCGTAACAACAAACGTTTAGCTAAAAAACACTCTTGTTTTCCTCATTCAAAAAACATATTGCTACGGTAAAATAAATTTTGAGAAAAATAAAACATTTTAGAAGATAATTCAGAACTGCAAAGCAAATATGCTATTTGCGAAGGAAACTAAATTTTCAACCAAAAATTCTACGAAATATACGAATAAAACTAACTTTGGTACTTTTCCGTTTTGCTGGCGCAAGCGATAAAGTCGCCAATAATGGTACAACCCATGCCAAACGAAATATTCTCGCTGGTAACCTTTTACGCCTCAATTTCAAAACAAGTCGCAGCTTTTACTTATCAGATTGATTGTTTCTTTCAATACTGGCATATCATTACATATAATTTTTATCAGATAGTTCAGTTTTATGTTTAAGGCAATTTTCGGTAATTAAGTTAATTAGGATGCAATCACAGCACTTACCCGAAGCCGAAAAATATAGAAAAGGTAAAGTCAAGGGTTAAATTCATCAATTCTAATGAGAATGCATTAGCGAAGTAAAGCACTGCAGTTTTACATAATTTCTGAGTAAGCTATTCGTACGAATTGAAATATTTCTTGCATTTAAACTTGTGTTCCAAATTAAGATTTAACTTGAAATTAATGTGGATAATTACTAAGAGCATTAGTTTTTTGTAGAGTAGTTTACGTGAGATGAGATCGCTTGGGGTCACGTGATATGAACCGGCGAATCAGGATGTTGAACCATGAAAGCATAGTAAATTCTTAATGTCTTTTTACAAATTTGTTGTCTTTATTTATTGGCTTTTTATAAAATTTTAAGCGATATTAAAATGTTTATGCCTTCTTTTTTAAAAAGAATTCTTAGAACTAACATTTTTTAAATATTTTTTACGTGTATACTGTATGTTGTCGCCAATAAAGTCTGCTTGTCGAGATTTGCGCCGGCGAAACGGAAAAGTACCCTAACTTTCTATAATAGTTCATCTCATATATTTTGTATCATCATCTAATTTGTATAAATAATATGCATATTTCTAAAAGAAGTTTAAAAAAAACTGATTCTATACTGTACAAATATTTAAAAAAAAAATCATTAAAATGTATTCGCCACTGTCAGTTAACCCAGAGTCTTCAACAGGCGCGAAAATCAGAGTAACTGCATATATTTAGTCTTGTCTTTGAAGTATATTGTCGTTCTTTGGTGGATTTTACCGGAGTTCTTTAAACACTAGATTTTCCTCTTAATTACAAATGAAATGTAACTACTTTGCTGCTGATTCAATAACACGTTTTGCACGGTTATTTTCTTAATTTTCGAAAGGGCCCAACCAGCGGCGGAGCGGCAAAATCGTTGATCACTAGCGAGCCCACCATTGGCAGTGTGGTAAAGTCGCTGAACACTGGTAGTTCGAATCCCGCGAACGGGCTAGCTGCATGGAGTTTTCGTGGTTTTTCCCATGTGTAACATGTCAGTTTCCCTTGGAAAGTTCTCCACGAAGGCATCCCTCCCCTTAGGCAGATAGCCCTCGAGGCTTTGCCATAATCACACACAATACAATACAATACAATACAATACGTTGATCACTAGTAGTTGGATCTGGGGTTTGAATCCCGGCGAACGGGCTGGTTGCATGGGCGTTTTCGTGATTTTCCGTATGTGTAACGTGTTGTGCGAGCAAGTTTTCCTTAGAAAGCCCTCCGCGAAGGCATTGTGATGCTTCTTTGGCGATATGAAGCAACTCCAATGATGGAACACAGCAATAACTTTTATTTAACACTCAAAAATGGCGACATACAAACAAGAAGAGAAAACATATTCTATCATTTAAAAATAAATTACATTCTTCGTGCGAGAGTCGCACGAGGCACTCGAGTCTGGTTTCAAATATTGCCATTCACAAATACCTTAATGTTCATCTATTTAAATTATTTAATCTACAAGATTTTAATATTATTTAAAGCTGTTACAACCTCTCCCCCAACGGAGAGACTTTTGCCGAAGGGAAAAGTTCTGTAAAATTCGTAAGTTTATAAGCTCGGCTTGCTAAATTGCTTAAAGAGAAAAGATAACTTCTCTCATAAGTTTCCAAATTTTCAGACCGAAAATTTTAAGTTTTAAACAAGTATTTTTACACCACATTTAAATAGGAAGAAAATGGACCAGTGTTCAAATTAGTGTTCTTTTTTTTTTTCTTGACGACGCCTAGATCTCTTCCATGGTGGACCAGTTCCTCGGCTATAATTCACAGCAAAGCCTTTCCTCAGTTCATCTGTGCCTTTCGGATAATATTCATTTGTCATTTGCTTTCGACAATTGTTTTCTTCGTCTATTAGTAGCGGCTTTGATATTAAATCAAAAGCCGAAAGATGATGATAACGCTGCATTGCAAAATGATTCTCAATATTAATTTCTTTATCGTTTTTTAAATTTTCGTGAACATCTTCCTCTTTTAATTCTGGTGATTTAACTTCTTCAAATACATCTCTGGATGCTTTATTTTCTTCCTTCATCGGTTCCAAGATCTGCTCTTCAGCTATTTTCCATTCACAAATACCTTAATGTTCATCTATTTAAATTATTTAATCTACAAGATTTTAATATTATTTAAAGCTGTTACAGCATACCTTTCCTTAGTCAGATAGTTCTCTAGTGCTTTCCCATAAATAAACCAAACTAAACTTCACTTTAAAAAACTTCTTAAAATTGTAGCTTTTTGATGCTTTTTCACTTTTCACTTTTTCTGACATTTTTATTTATTTTTATTTATTTGTCTTTTTAGAGCTCAAATGATTCTTCCGACAATCTTTTTTTTTAATTTTAATGAATTAGCTATTTTTTCGTACACATTTTCTGTACAATTCCGCCCCGCCCCATTTTAAAGAATATTATAAAAGAATAATTGCACCGAATTCCGCTTAGTGTGATATGTATTCCTTGTATTTCATGTATTGATTTAATTTTTTAATATATTTACAGTAGGTTTCACATTAATGATTAGGAAGAAACATAAAATGACTTGTCATTTAAGACAAAGTAAGTCAAGACAAGTCATTTAAAACAAGTTTGGTCAACACTTGAGTTAGTTCTAAGAAAAGAGCATTTTTATTTGATTTATACGATTTGTAGTTTATTACTCAAAGTACAGAAAACAATCTAGATCCCGGATGGAGCTGTACTGAACTGTTCTGTTTAAGAAATTGTACAATAGAACTTCTGTTTTTCAAATTTAAATAAGTCGAATGGAATGATGAAGTGTATATTCGAAATTGTTATTGCCTTTTCTCATTAGCTTGTAGAGACATTGGGTATATTTTTGGAAGCCGGAGAGATGAAAAATTAGCAACGCTTTCCCCGGGAATCGAACCGCGGACCTCTGGAATACCGGCCCAGCGTGCAGAACCACTATATTACGAAGGCAGGAGAAATACCTTATATACTCCCCCTTTTAAAGGGCGACTGGGATTTTTAGGGGACTCATTCGCCAAATCCTGGGTGTGGAGAATCCTCATCCAAAATCCTTTTAGTTAGGGTGCTACTGTAGAGACATTAGGTATATTTTTGAAGCAGGAGGGATGAAAAATATGCAATCGTGTTCGCTGGGAATCGAACCACGGACCTCTGAAATACCGGCTCATTGTGCTGACCACTACACCACGAAGGCACGCTAGGAAGGCGGGAGAACAAGGTCGTAGCTAGAATTTCTAGCGCCCGGGAACAAATAAAGAATCTGCGCCCCTTTCTGTGTGACAGAAACGGAAAATATTTC